GTCAAGGATGACCTCAAGGACAACAGCAGGAACATCTTTAACTTGATGTGTCAGGTACCCTTGCTGCCCGACAAGCAGAAAAAAGGTGCATCAGATGCTCAGGAAGACGACGAATACCGTGGAGGCAGAGTCGATGTCTACTTGCCCGGTATCCATAAGAACAAGGCAGACCTCACTCAGACCGAGACCTACGCATCAGTGATCAAGAACTTTAAAAGTCTTGATATTCAGCACATGCTGTGCCTGTTGAGTTTTGCTGTTTTCCCAGAGAACGGAGTGATGAACAAAACGATGCTGATGTATTGGTGGATGGCTGAGGGCTTTCTTCCTGTCGAAGACGCTGGAACATCGGTGGCAAAAATCCTCGAAGATTTTAAAAAGATGGGTCTTATTGAACCCGTTGAAGATGAGCGGAAGATGGAGCCTGCTAGTTATAAGATGCCACCTCTCGTGCATTCTGCAGTGGTTCGTCTCTCGACTTCGGTGGGTCTTTTCGATATTTATGATGAAAAGGGGAAGCCGGCCATGAAAAAATCGGAAAAGAAAAAGGTATGCCTTGTGGAAGGGTCATCGAGCAAGGATGAGACGAAAATCACGAAAATGCAGCCAGGGGACATCGAGACCGTGTTCAATGTGTCTGAGAGGTTCCCAGATTTCACGTTCAAGTGGTTCAAACTGATGAAGACGCTCAAGGTTCTCTACCTCGGGAGATGGGAGAGAACAGCCAAACGCCACATCGAGGTCGAGAGCCCCGAGCTTATGAAAAATCTGAACTCCCTGAGTGAACTGAGACTCCTGAGTTTACAAGGTATCTCGAGGATCGAGAGGCTTGATGATTCGGTGTGTAAGCTGCGGAAGTTGATCATCTTGGACCTGAGAGCATGCTATAACCTGGAAAAGCTCCCCGAGAAGATAGATTCGCTCGAGAATCTGATCTACCTAGACATAAGCGAATGCTATATGATAGACCGAATGCCCAAGAGATTGGCGTGGCTGGAGAAGCTCGAAGTTCTCAAGGGCTTTGTGGTCAGTGACGCCGACGAGGAGACCACCTGTAGACTGATCGATTTGAAGCACTTGGAGAGACTGAAAAAGCTGAGTGTCACCATAAACAAGACGGACTTCGACGTGAACAAACTGAAAGAGGCTCTTGTAGGGCTGAAAGCACTGGAAAATCTGAAAGTGGCGTGGGGAGGCATTTCGAAAGATCAGAAGGAGAAGAAAACGGGTATGGATCATCAGGCGAAATCTGTTGTGAAGAACGCCGTCAAAGCGTTATTTCGGCAACACGCAGGTAGGCATGGAGATGGCCCAGCGAATCCCGGTTATCGGTTGCATAAACTGGACCTGCAGTGTTTTCCCGATGCAGAACTTCCCGAGTGGCTTCAGCCGCGGAATCTTATTACGCTCAAGAAGCTCTACATCAAAGGAGGAACAGAACTCAGTGGATTAGGGGAGCTGCCAACGGTACCGACCCATTGTGGGGTTGAGGTTTTACGTCTGAAATTTCTTCCAAAGCTGCAGGTTGAGTGGAGAGACCTCAAGGGACTGTACTTTCCAAAGATGGAATTGTTGGAGAAGTACCAGTGCCCGCGTGTTGCGTTATGTCCCTGTGATGGAAAGGGCATCTGGAAAGTCAACAAACCTTGAATCGAGTGCCGTCCCATTGCCCATTGTCATTCTCCCATATTCATGTTCTTGAATTTCCCTGTTGTTTCTTCACGCTCTTTCCATGTTGTTACTTGTGTAATGTTTCTCCTTCGGACATTGTGTTGTTGTTAAGCAACTGAAAGCTGTGATCATAAGAAACCATTGTCTCTCAGTGTCGGAGCATAAATGTGGAGCATAAATGTTATATCTGGTGATCTATAACGTGCATACGACTTTGGACAAATCATCTCTGTCATGTCTTACTGAAACGGATTCGGTTTCAGATGTTGTCTTTTTATTTTTACATCATCTGTAGACTAAAAACAACAATAGATAGAGAATAACAAATCCTTATATATTTTCTAGACATCTATTCATTTTTCGAACGTTATGTTTCTACCGAGCAAATGAGATTATTGAAAAACACTTTTGAGATACAAAAAAAAACGATGATATTGGTTTGCTCTCCATATATGACCCAAACAACTTGTTCATAACAAAACAAAACCTTTGATCATTGTTTTGCAAGAATAACCATCTCAAGATCTAAATCTCAATAAATTGATGAATGTCATATACAAACTTGTTCATTCCCCATAAATAAAAACTAAGAGACATAAAAGAATGGACGCAAAGACCGACAATTTTTTTCCGAAAAATCACAACTTTGGGCATCAGTTCGGGCCGAGCTGCAATTGACTCGGGCTAAGTCAACTGACTGTACAAATCTCGATTTTCCTTTAGAGATTGACTCGGCCAAGTTGAATAACTCTGTCGATTCAATTGTCTGTACAAAACCAACTGGGGGTGAGTCAATTGTCTATGCAAAATTAAGATTTCTCTTTAGAGCACCAACTTGGGATGAATCAATTCTCTATGCAAAACCAACAATCCCTCACTTGATCTAATTATGATCTACTAAATATCTAATGACATGACCCTCATCCTTCGACGATGGGGGGAATTTCGTCAATAGATTAGCAATGTTATCTCCGTTGATATTTTACAAATTTATATATCTCATCTATCTATAATTTCCTTTATCAAGTGAAAGCGTCTAAATATGTGCTTCCAAAGTTTCTTCTCCTTCTTCAATGATTCCAAAGAATGCAATAGAGTTAGAAACTTCTTCATCGTCACTGTTTAACTCAGTTTCCTCCTTCTCTTGAGTGGTATATGATTTTCCCTTCTTCTGGCCATATTTCATCCTTA